GTAGAAGAAGGATTTTAAAGGGTTTACCTCTATTTCCTCTATTTGGCCCCGCCCCTCTGCGCCCAGCGGGGCCACACCCACCGTTTATACAAAATTAAGTCCCCTTGGCCCAATGATGGTCCAGACTAAATAAGGATAAAAATCCCTTACTGACAACAGTAGAAGAAGGATTTTAAAGGTTTAACCTCTATTTCCTCTATTTGGCCCCGCCCCTCGGTCCAGACAAAATAAGGACAACATCCCTTAATTCTTACGGTAGAAGAAGGATTTTAAAGTGTTTATGTCTTATTAAAAATCTACCTGGCCGTTCAGGACAAGTAGCGTTTTAAAGGAAAAGTTGACGGACGCTGCGGTATGGCATAAGCTCAACATGGTCCTTCGAACCAGGCTAAAAATGTAACCGGCCAAACATAAGAACAAGAATAATTTTGAAGGACGAACAACCCTTTTGCAATTAACCAACAGAAAACAAGAAAATCATGAACAAAATAATGTCAAAATCAACAATGACTCAAATCGCCAGTTTCGACAATTTTATCATTTTTCTCGCCACGTGTCGATTTGTAACTAGTCACAGACAGAAAATGTTTAATTTAGACTTAACTGTGAAACCTAGCGTTTGATTTGCAATATTCAATCACGTTAACTTAGTTCCATGCTTTCTTCTTTAGATTTTCTTTTATAAATTATTTCTTTATGCATCCTCATCGATGTATCGCCAAATCCCTTTTTAGGTAATTATGTCTAAAAACATATTGTCCGAAATGATGACAGTAAATCGATTTTAGCTATACCTGTTGATACTCTGTGAATTACCACTTTTGGTTGAACAATAATTAAATAAATACATTATGAATATCAATTATCTATGATGTATAATTCTCAATGAAGAAATATCACAAGTAGGTAAAAGCTACGATCTTTAAATGCTTTGTCTTTTCATATAAATGGCTTTTTACATGTTATAATTGTATAGTCGAAATACATTCACTCAAGCTGACGCTTTTTCAGAATTATTACTTAACTTCTACAGGTTTAAATTCTTTCACGATCGGCGATATATAGAAAGCCGGAATCGCGACGTAAACGTATCTGAATGTAAATTCGCCGAGGTAGCTAATAGACAAAACAATCGGGTGACGTCACAATAGTTATGACGTCATCATTACATTGTGTCATAATCGATACCCATAATACTTTCCATAGATACGCTCTATAGCTCTACATGACTGACTGCTTTTTTACTCTCCATACTTTCAGACTTAGTTTTCAACTACAAGCGAAGCAATAATTATGACAAAAGATCAAAAAAAAATTCCTGACCAGGGGTCATCCCGATGCTCCCGTCTAAAGAAAACGATCAAGGATAAATGCAAGGTAATCGGCGAGACAACCATGTACTACGGAAACGCAGGATCGGTTCAGGTTTTGTCCCCAATCCCGGGCTCACCATCACCGGACAGTGAACCAAGGAGAGACCACATCCGTCCGGAAAGTCCCAGAAGAGAGTCTTTGGTCAGAACTTCTAACAAAGGTAGGTGACCTATTAAACCACTTAATAGTGTAGCGGAACTGAACTGGGTCGTTCGTCGGCGACCAGGTAGCTCAATTGGTAGAGCGTTCGTCTAGAGTTCGCAGGGTCCCGGGTTCGATTCAAAGTTTTGCCATGCATTTCTCTTCCCCCTATTACAAAATTGGCGTGCTTGTCAACCCTTGTTTCAAGTACTAGGTAAATGCTTTGCAAGGAGATATCCTAACCCGGGTTATAAATAATTGTGTATTTGAGGGGGAAGACTTGAAAAAAAAGGAAGGGAGGAATGTAGCGGAACTGGATTGGGACGATCGTCGGCACCGGGTAGCTCAATTGGTAGAGCGTTCGTCTAGAGTTCGAAGGGTCCCGGGTTCGAGTTCCAGTATGGCCATGCATTTCTCTTTTCTCCTTTTACAATAGCATATAACTTGAGATATTAGGTGTAATACAATGTTTTGTGGGGCCGATTAAAACATTCTGGCCATCAACAATTTATTGTTTGGCCGAGTAACGAGCTGTTATATAATAAATGTTACCTATATCTATTTTCGAGTGAAGACAATGATCGCAATGGACTTTATTTGACTGAGTTGTTGTTCTGTTTCAGCCAATATTAGAAAAACAATGACTGGAAAGAAAAGTTCAACCCAGAAAAGAACCAAGGGGACGATGTCCGATTACTCTTTGCCGCCAATTAAAAATGTGCCCACGATGACACCCACAAAGAAGATGGCGGATAAAAATCTAAAGGAATTTACATCTACGGAAACATGCAAACCTATCAACATGCCGGGATTTAAAGCTCGCGGTAGAAAAATTACCTCCAAGAACAAAATGTCGTCTGTAATTGCCGATTTGCCTGGCAAGGAACCCGCTGAAAAGTTGATGATGGGCACAAGGAGGATTCAATCCATGTCTTCAAAGAGCATCGCATTATCTGAAGAGAGAATACGTCTGCCCGTCCCCCGGGGAGCTAGGATGATTCCTTACTCTGTTAAAGTTCTGCCGCCACAGTATATGATTATGAATAGAACAAATCTCCCGCCTATCGGAGTCCGCTCCATGGCTGCTTGGTAGTAAACCATCTGTTGACTATTTTTAAGTGAAGCGAAGATTTAGACAGACACAGCTAGTCCCGTCTCTGATTAGACTACTATTTTGACATCTTAAAATCATCGAATGATTTTTTAATAAAATATTTTCAAACTTTTATGAAGAGCATTTGTTTTCTTTGCATATTTTTTTTTATTAGTTTATGTTAGAAACGATATATTGTTTCATTAAGACATAATTGCAATTTCTGGACATCTTTTTCCTCTTTATCTAGAACTCGACTTTTCAAATGTTTTCGACTTCGTTAATAGTTTCACTACGTCATAATCAGAGAAGAGACAAAGAATACGTGTAATTGCCTATGATAGATAAATGATACTTTATGGCTGTTACTATGCCATGGACGCGATATATCCTCTAGATGGTTTAGGATATTCCTTATACGGGATGGCCACCTGATGGTCTTTTCTTGTTTCTTGCCAACATTCTGGTGATACTCTCTCATTTCTATGACCAGCTATTGATAAAGCGTAGCCTTTCGTCTGTCCATGCTTTACCAAACCTGACGAAATGTTTAGAAACTCATTTCTGGTTGGCGTTAAGAAAAATTTATATAATGCTTCATCTTCGGAAAGATAGACCCTTTTTTTCCAATGACCATCTTAATACACACAAAACGTGTTTTTACGCACACATAATATCTATTTCCTCGTTAAACACATGCCATTTCTATGATTCAAAAGTTTATAGAGTTTGCTATGTTTCCATTATAGGGTCCCGCCCCTATGCCCCAAGGGGGGTCAGACCCACCGTTAATACAAAATTAGTTCCCCTTCACCCGAGAATGCTTTAGACCAAATATGGACATAATCCTCCTACAGAAGTTTTTTTTAAAGAATTTGCTAAATAACCCCTATTGGGCCCTACCCCTCAGGCCCAAGGGGACATTTATACAAAATCAATTTACCTTCCCAATAGGATGCTACTGTTCAAATTTGGTCAAAATACCTTCATCCCAAATGGAAAAAAAGGATATTAAAGCTATTCCTCTATATCCCTTATTGGGCCCACCTATCTGCCCCAAGGGGGTGAGGCCCACCGTTTATACAATATTGGTTCCCCTTCATCGAAGGGTGCTTCATACCAAATGTGGACAAAATCCTGTCATTCCTACAGCAGAAGAAGGATTTTGATAAATTTCCTATGTTTTCCCTACTGGGCCCCGCCCCTCTACCCCCAGAGGTGCCACATCCACCGTTTATACAAAATTGAGTCCCCTTGGCCCAATGATGCTCCAGACTAAATAAGGATAAAACCTCTTAATGACAACAGTAGAAGAAGGATTTCAAAGGTTTTACCTATATTTCCCCTATTTGGCCTCGCCCCTCTGCGCACAGCGGGGCCACACCAACCGTTTATACAAAATTGAGTCCCCTATTAATAAAGCGTAGCCTTTTTTCTGTCCATGCTAACTAAACCTTACGAAATTGTTTAGAAACTCATTTCTGGTTGGCGTTAAGAAATATTTATATAATGCTTCATCTTCGGAAAGATAGACCCTTTTTTTCCAATGACCACCTTCATACACACAAAACGTGTTTTTACGCACACATAATATCTATTTCCTCGTTAAACACATGCCATTTCTATGATTCAAAAGTTTATAGAGTTTGCTATGTTTCCATTATAGGGTCCCGCCCCTATGCCCCAAAGGGGGTCAGACCCACCGTTGATACAAAATTAGTTCCCCTTTACCCGAGGATGCTTTAGACCAAATATGGACATAATCCTCCTACAGAAGAGGTTTTTTTTAAAGAATTTGCTAAATAACCCCTATTGGGCCCCACCCCTCAGGCCCAAGGGGACATTTATACAAAATCAATTTACCTTCCCAATAGGATGCTACTGTTCAAATTTGGTCAAAATACCTTCATCCCAAATGGAAGAAAAAGGATATTAAAGCTATTCCTCTATATCCCTTATTGGGCCCACCTATCTGCCCCAAGGGGGTGAGGCCCACCGTGTATACAATATTGGTTCCCCTTCATCGAAGGATGCTTCATACCAAATGTGGACAAAATCCTGTCATTCCTACAGCAGAAGAAGGATTTTGATAAATTTCCTATGTTTTCCTTACACCGCCCCTCTACCCCCATGGGTGCCACACCCACCGTTTATACAAAATTGAGTCCCCTTGGCCTTAGGATGCTCCAGATTAAATTCGTATAAAATCTCTTAATCCCTTAGGTAGAAGAAGGATTTTAAAGGGTTTACCTCTATTTCCTCTATTTGGCCCCGCCCCTCTGCGCCCAGCGGGGCCACACCCACCGTTTATACAAAATTGAGTCCCCTTGGCCCAAGGATACTCCAGACCAAATAAGGATAAAATCCCTTAATGACAACAGTTGAAGAAAGATTTTAAAGGTTTTACCTCTATTTCCTCTAATTGGCCCCGCCCCTCTGCGCCCAGCGTAGCCACACCCACCGTGGCCCAAGGATGCTCCAGACTAAATAAGGATAAAATCCTTTAATCCCTAAGGTAGAAGAAAGATTTTAAAGGTTTTACGTCTATTTCCTCTATTTGGCCACGCCCCTCTACGCCCAGCGGGGCCACACCCACCGTTTATACAAAATCGAGTCCCCTTGAGCCAAGGATGGTCCAGACTAAAGAAGGATAAAATCCCTTAATGACACCAGTAGAAGAAGGATTATAAAGGTTTTACCTCTATTTCCTCTATTTGGCCCCGCCCCTCTGCGCCCAGCGTAGCCACACCCACCGTGGCCCAAGGATGCTCCAGACTAAATAAGGATAAAATCCCTTAATCCCTAAGGTAGAAGAAAGATTTTAAAGGTTTTACGTCTATTTCCTCTATTTGGCCCCGCCCCTCTACGCCCAGCGGGGCCACACCCACCGTTTATACAAAATTGAGTCCCCTTGGCCCAACGATGCTCCAGACCAAATAAGGATAAAATCCCTTAATGACAACAGTTGAAGAAAGATTTTAAAGGTTTTACCTCTATTTCCTCTAATTGGCCCCGCCCCTCTGCGCCCAGCGTAGCCACACCCACCGTGGCCCAAGGATGCTCCAGACTAAATAAGGATAAAATCCCTTAATCCCTAAGGTAGAAGAAAGATTTTAAAGGTTTTACGTCTATTTCCTCTATTTGGCCACGCCCCTCTACGCCCAGCGGGGCCACACCCACCGTTTATACAAAATCGAGTCCCCTTGAGCCAAGGATGGTCCAGACGAAATAAGGATAAAATCCCTTAATCCCTAAGGTAGAAGAAAGATTTTAAAGGTTTTACGTCTATTTCCTCTATTTGGCCACGCCCCTCTACGCCCAGCGGGGCCACACCCACCGTTTATACAAAATTAAGTCCCCTTGGCCCAATGATGGTCCAGACTAAATAAGGATAAAAATCCCTTACTGACAACAGTAGAAGAAGGATTTTAAAGGTTTAACCTCTATTTCCTCTATTTGACCCCGCCCCTCTGCGCTCAGCGGGGTCACACCCACCGTTTATACAAAATTGAGTCCCCTTGGCCCAAGGATGCTCCAGACCAAATAAGGATAAAATCCCTTAATGACAACAGTAGAAGAAGGTTTTTAAAGGGTTTACCTCTATTTCCTCTAATTGGCCCCGCCCCTCTGCGCCCAGCGTAGCCACACCCACCGTGGCCCAAGGATGCTCCAGACTAAATAAGGATAAAATCCTTTAATCCCTAAGGTAGAAGAAAGATTTTAAAGGTTTTACGTCTATTTCCTCTATTTGGCCACGCCCCTCTACGCCCAGCGGGGCCACACCCACCGTTTATACAAAATCGAGTCCCCTTGAGCCAAGGATGCTCCAGACTAAAGAAGGATAAAATCCCTTAATGACACCAGTAGAAGAAGGATTTTAAAGGTTTTACCTCTATATCCTCTATTTGGCCCCGCCCCTCTGCGCCCAGCGTAGCCACACCCACCGTGGCCCAAGGATGCTCCAGACTAAATAAGGATAAAATCCTTTAATCCCTAAGGTAGAAGAAAGATTTTAAAGGTTTTACGTCTATTTCCTCTATTTGGCCACGCCCCTCTACGCCCAGCGGGGCCACACCCACCGTTTATACAAAATCGAGTCCCCTTGAGCCAAGGATGCTCCAGACTAAAGAAGGATAAAATCCCTTAATGACACCAGTAGAAGAAGGATTATAAAGGTTTTACCTCTATTTCCTCTATTTGGCCTCGCCCCTCTGCGCCCAGCGGGGCCACACCCGCCGTTTATACAAAATTGAGTCCCCTTGAGCCAAGGATGGTCCAGACTAAATAAGGATAAAATCCCTTAATCCCTAAGGTAGAAGAAAGATTTTAAAGGTTTTACGTCTATTTCCTCTATTTGGCCACGCCCCTCTACGCCCAGCGGGGCCACACCCACCGTTTATACAAAATTAAGTCCCCTTGGCCCAATGATGGTCCAGACTAAATAAGGATAAAAATCCCTTACTGACAACAGTAGAAGAAGGATTTTAAAGGTTTAACCTCTATTTCCTCTATTTGACCCCGCCCCTCTGCGCTCAGCGGGGTCACACCCACCGTTTATACAAAATTGAGTCCCCTTGACCCAAGGATGCTCCAGACCAAATAAGGATAAAATCCCTTAATCCCTAAGGTAGAAGAAAGATTTTAAAGGTTTTACGTCTATTTCCTCTATTTGGCCACGCCCCTCTACGCCCAGCGGGGCCACACCCACCGTTTATACAAAATCGAGTCCCCTTGAGCCAAGGATGGTCCAGACTAAAGAAGGATAAAATCCCTTAATGACACCAGTAGAAGAAGGATTTTAAAGGTTTTACCTCTATTTCCTCTAATTAGCCCCGCCCCTCTGCGCCCAGCGTAGCCACACCCACCGTGGCCCAAGGATGCTCCAGACTAAATAAGGATAAAATCCTTTAATCCCTAAGGTAGAAGAAAGATTTTAAAGGTTTTACGTCTATTTCCTCTATTTGGCCACGCCCCTCTACGCCCAGCGGGGCCACACCCACCGTTTATACAAAATCGAGTCCCCTTGAGCCAAGGATGGTCCAGACTAAATAAGGATAAAATCCCTTAATGACAACAGTTG